GTGGCCTACACTTTGGTGTCTCCTGCTGCAGAGCATGTGCGGCGTTTTTTCGAAGGACCCTTTCGCTAAGATTGAAATATAAGTGCCGATTCTCTGGTTCTTGTGAGGTTACACAAAGTTAGATTCTTAATGAGCCATTGTGAAGCTATATGTATAAAGTTGAAGTATGTTCCAGAAAAACGATATTCTTGCCGACATTGTCGCTTCGAGAAATGTGTTAGGGTAGGGATGCGGAAAGAAAGTAAGCTTATTTCTCAACATAGCCTGGAAGTACAATAAGCTGTGCTTTCAGTGGTGCAGATGGCGAACACCCCAAATGGTGTGGATCCGTACGAGGGCGTAAAGCCATCCTCATCGAATCCAGGATCAAATACCGTAAGAATATACCCTTCCCTTATATTGTACCTAATTTTCGCCGTCATTCTAACATTTCAGTCGTATTCATCCTGCTCTCCTCCAGAGCCGGTATACCGTATCCCAGCAATCGTAAGGAATGATAACTGCCAGCAAACTAATCAAAATGGTCCATATAGTAACAACTCTACCAATTTTGACTTTCACGCGAATGCGCAGATGATTTTGAAGGCGAAGATAGACGTTCTCTTTGATATGGTAAGGGTTAGCCAATTATGGTCCTTGTTCAAGTCAGTTGACCTTATGTTGACTCATTTTGGATACTTGAGGCTTTACTTATCTTATCATGTTTCACTTTTCTAAATGTAAGAATTTTCTAGGACTTCAATCTCAGCGCATTTCCATATGCAATCCCGCTTTCTATATGCCAACAAGCAATGATAGCCTACGCCAACCTTTCGCAGCACTGGTCGCAATGTAGAGTTGGAAGGGTAAGTTTCTACAAAGTCATACTCATAAAAATGATAATTTGTGGTATTAGTTATGAAAATGAAGAGTTGAGAAAAAACTGAAAAGGGATATTCCGCGAAGACCTTTCCTTCGAAGGATCAGCTGCGTAGCGCTTAAACTTTTCTTTTCTCAATAGATACAATGTACCGAGATGGTGAAATGAATATCAATTTTTCGGAATTCATCTACAACATCCATTTCGCACTGCACAGACTGTCAGAAATTTTAATTTCTTTTACTCGCTGCGCGTAATAATAGCAGGAAGGAGAAGACGAGATATTTCATAAATCAATTATGATTCGTTTGAGTCTACAAATGTTATCTCCGTTGTTCACTTAGTTCCGAACTTAACATGATTTATTCGATGATGACAGTTCGCTTTTTTTGTAAATTATAATTCTGGGCGAATCTCTCATTTTCAAAAGACATAGCTATTTTAGACTTGTGAGGTGGATGTTATCGATGTTGAGCATTTCCTTCGTGACACTTACATCGAAATAGAATACCTTGCTGAATTTTCCATGTCTTTGCAACCTTTCAGTCAACTACCAAAAGATCAAAAAGTAAGCCTTCATTTAGCTTATGTGTGTACAAAAGGTGTAAAATCAGTGAATTTCAGTGGCTGTTATTTCGAAATTTTTGGCCAGGTTTGTTTATATTGGATCGATGCTTTCACACTTGCAAGATCCTTGGCTATGACACGAATGACGAACGGGCGCTGTGTATGGACGGAACTATTGTAAATCCGAAAAGTCGTGTTATCAGACTTGAATTTGTTTCCGACCTTAATGAAGACCAAATTAAAAAGTATGTTATTTAATATAGCTTCTGAGTTTTTTTAAGGGTAGCTGTTGATTGTGAAAAGACATAGATAGATGCCTCAAGTTAGCTTTGAGGTTAATGAAGCCATCACATGATTTATTTCGCGAACTCGTCATCCATCCGTTCAAAAGATTGCGACCAAACGAGTTCGAGCTGCTGTATATGGTAATCTGCTGCATGTGGAATGTCAAACGTAAGTAGAATTGGGAAAATTTTTTTTTCAAGTTATAGCTAGAATTATCTTACAGCCTAAGCAAATAATGATGAAATTCTGAAGAAAGCATATAATATTAGTTATTATTAATCTACCTTTTACAATGTAACCTTAAAAAATGGCAACACGACACTAAAAAGCTTTCCGAAATTTGTTCATTATTGTTGACCCGAAAACCTTGAGCAAGG